AAAGAGCAATTAGAGATTGTTAAAATGCCAGATGCAAGGTTATTAAAAGATTAGCTTCACATAGCATCTCAACAGAGCCTTTGTTTGTTCCTCTTTGGAACAAAGGCCTTTCACAGGGAGTAACAGCAGGCAGCAAGGCAGAGTTTTGATCACTGAAAAGCATTCCTGTAGAAGAATGGCTTGTTTACAGCTCACTCAAGTTGTTTATTTTTGAGGAAAAGTTGTAGCACTGCCAGTTATCTGCAATTAAGGAAAAAAAAAAGTATTTTGAAAAAGGAGTATCTCATGTCAAAGATTTGATCATTTCCAATATTCATTTATTTTGGTTATTAGATTGTGTGTGTGTGTGTGTGTGTGTATATATATATATATATACAGTATACAGAGTGCATGTACACTTATACTCACAAAGCTGAAGACTAAAATGAGTACTTCCTAGATACAGTATGTGCCAGTAGTGGTCACAACTCTACTAATAAGTCTGTGGCACAGACTTTATAGTCCACGGATAAAAAGCTGATTTTATCTCTTCTGTTCTGCTTACTATGTTATTCCCGTGCCCTCGTGCAAAGGGTGCTCTCTTGTGGTTCTGTCAACTTATTGCATCATGTAGACAGAAAAACATTCGAAACCTCATCTATCGACCTTATGCCCAATTAAAAACAACCTTGCTGCTCTCTTGTGGTTCTATCAACTTATTGCATCATGTAGACGGAAAAACATTCGAAACCTCATCTATCAACCTTATGCCCAATTAAAAACAACCTTGATGGAATAATATAACCAATTTTGAACCTTTATTTACATTCGGTAACTCTGAAGTACACAAAACACTCTAGTTGAAATAATCTGCTGTAAAATTCAAATTCAACTGGACAACAGTTTTCCTGAGGTATAAATCTCTCAATGAAAAGAACTGTACATTTTTACAAACATCAGCCAATGTAGGCTCACAACCTGCTCAACCAAACTCTGATAAAACTAGCTGTCCCAAAATACAACAATATACAGCTAGTTACCAAGACATGGGTTTTCAGATGAATGACCCTGCCAATAAAAACGTAGAGCACTAGGTACGGTTGCTTTGTCTCTTATGGCTTTGGATCTTTCTCCTCAGTATCTGGTCAGGAATGAGGTCCGACTCCCTCACATCTGTGTTTCCGCAGCCCACCACAGGACAGCTGGAGGACAGACACAGGGCACACTGAACATATAAGAAGCTGTCTATATATGAACTTTGCCTCATTTATTCTTGTATAATATTTCACTATACATGGCTAAAAGGTCAACACCTGTTTGTGTTGATGAATTAATTTCTATGCCAAGAGTTCCCAGTTTTTCTGTTTTCTTATCTGTGTATATGTAAGCCAGGGCTGCTACAACATGAAGACAGCAATGGATGATGAAATTCTGTTGACTACGACACCATTTAATCAGCCGTACGTCTAATCAAGAGAAGCCCCCTTGGATTTTGCTGATGTAATTGTAAATGCAAGCTGTGAGCAGTGACCACAGTCAGGGCTCAAAAAAATAAACAGGATTCTGTAACAACGACATAACTGTGTTCCTCTAGAAGCAGCCACATTTAATTTGAAACTAACATCAAAGTGGTATATTGACTGAATTAAGGCAGAGTGCTGGTCCCATGCCAGCCTGCCTAGTTGTTTACTACAGCAAAATCTGACAACTTTCTAACAGCCCTCCATGGGAGTGTGTCTTACCGGCATTTCTTATTCTGGCCGTGTCTTGTTTTGATCATGTTCACTATGGCTTTTTCATCATAGTGGTGGTTACACTTCTTATTCTTTACCGGGTTCACCATGTCCACCTTGAATACAGATACACAGTGGTGTATTATATAGTGAAACACAGTGACTATTCTTTATTGATGCTCAAACTTACTTTTATATATTCTATTTAGCCAATGTTTTCCCAAGGGAAAATCTACTGAGGTTAAAAACAGTGGTGCCTTGGCCAAGACAGCAGCATACAGTATATAAAGTCAGACGAAGACAAAACTTTAAACAAAATTAAATCCAGGGTTTACAGAAATTAAAACAATACTGAGAACAGACATAAAAGCATTAAGAACAGGAGCAGACAGTGAAGGACTATTTCATCAATGCAGTCACAGTGGACTTGAATTTGGTCAATTTTACCAAACTGTTACTGTCAGTGATTCAGAAGAAATACCGTCTAAAAAGAGGGACGCGCCTGTGTGTATACCTGTGTGAGTGGGCAGGTGAAGTTGACTTGGCTCTGTGTAACAGCGATATCCTCGTCGAGCTCCTCCATGTTCTCTTCTGACTCTTGGTTGGCTGAAAGCACAATGTACATGCAGTTTGTTTCCAAATGCCCAGTCAGAATAATAAATAATCTGCTGGATCATTGACAAGATGGCAGATGATTATCCATCAGACAAGGATATGAGCTTGGAAGAAACTGCTGTATATCTATGAAATACAGCAAAACAAGTTCAACTTTAGGTAGCAACAGATCCTTGGCTAATGTATGATTAAACACTCAAAAGGTTATTACAAAAATAAGCCACTGTCCACATGAAAGATCTGATGATTACCACATTTTACCACCATTCATAAACTCTTAATAAGACATACAACAATATAAATTTATAATAATACACATACTATAGCCTTAACACATTACACCAACACATGCAAACACAAAAATCTCACCTACTCACAAGTCCAGACATCTAACACACCCACACAAAAAGCAAGCTTCCCCTTTTTAGCCTATGTATAAAGTTCACAATATTCTGTATATTGTTGTCCCAGTGCATCTACAACTATCAAATATCTCAAAGGTCATCCTGGGCCAAAAAAAAACTCCTCAGGGTGCCTCCTAAAACTCACCTAGGCCAAGATCCAACAACACAACCACAACCAGGATTACAGGATTCAATTTATGCCTTCAAGAGAGCAATATGTGAACTTAAAAAAAAAACCCATAATAACAAAATGACCAGTCTGAAACTCATTCACTGGACAGTAATGATATCTGATGGTAATCCTTTTCAGTACAATGATCTCACCACATGTTCATAACGGAAACTTTCTCACATTTTCACATCACTGGATAATCTATTGCAACCTTTGGGACTGAGTGAGCCTGGGAAAATTACATGGGCACAACAGCAGTTTCACTTATGATGTCTACAGAGAATCTAAAAAGCATGGTATTGTCTGTGTGTGGTTTTAATAAGGGGTGTAATGAAGACAACAATTAAAAACTAGAAAGTAACGGCTACAGGGTGACAAGCAAACAGTTATGAGTAACTAAATGGAGTTGTGCATTTAAAAATAATGATCCTGAATAAAGGACACATCCCAAGATTTCTGTCTGACATTGGCTGAAAAGCTCTCCTGCAAGCATAGCTATTATCAAAGGCTATTATAAGTAATAATTCCTCTCCTCTCGCTAGACAGGCCTTACCTTGGTTAAGAGAGTTGCTGATGATCTCCTTGAAGGCTAATACTTTCTTGTGACTGTGCAGGTCAGCATCAGAGAGTCGGGCGATCCTCTCAGTGAACTGCTCCTTCACCTTGGCAGACAGGCTAAACATTTCCTCTGGCTGCTGCGAGGCAACCTACAGAGACTGAAGTGTTTTAGGCCTTTTTTTTATGAACCTTTACAAATAAAGTCAAAATCAGTGTCTTCCCTGATGCCTATAACTAAACAGCTTAACAATGAGATTTTCTATTCCAGAAAATATGAGCGTACACGTCAGGAGGTGCGGTGGGGACTAAATTAACTTCCAAACAAATCAAGTCAATCTCTATGCACTTTAAATTAACTGAAGTCTTTCTTTTGAGTATTGCATCTTGGGCCTGGCCTGCTCATTTCATAAAGAAGTAAACATGTTTCCTTCAGTTATATGAAATGTCCATGCCATGTTGCTCTCACCTCATTTGTGACTTGTTGCACAACATCAACAAAGTAGTTAATTTCACTGTCCAGTCTGGCACACTCCAGAATCATGGCCTCCATCTCTTTGACAGCAGGGTTCAATGTTTCATCTGTAACACAGGTGCATACACAAAGGCGGAGGAAATGTTTAGATCCTTTACATTGTCTCGCATTCACAATCATACATATGTAAACTAAAAGCAAATATTGGCAACAGATCAAAAATATATTACCCATGCCGAATCAACCCTGCAAGTGTAATGCTATCATGTTATTTATTATAGGCGTTTGTTGCATTACCATGTAAGCGGCATTTAAAATGGTAGTTTGCCAAATTAGGCCCAACATTTTATACACTGAAATACCAGTGCAACATTTAATATACTGATCACTGATTAAATGGAACTGATGTGGAAAGTAGCAAATACGTATTAAGTAGCAAATAATAGAAATGCCTCTGGATTTAACTTAAATTCAGTACCTAAGTATTTAACGTTATTTACATTTCAGCGATCGTAGTGCACTTGGATGGCACGATAATCAATCAATTATGTAAACACAGACTGAAACATACGACCGCCAAAGCACTGAGCTTGAATGCTGACGTTACCCTGAGCTTCTGTCAGCTCCAAAGCCAAATCTGACACGATGTCCATTCCCGTCCCCAAGTCTGCTTGACATGATTTCAGGCTCGACAGTGTTCCATGAACGGCGCTCATCGACATTATGATGGGTGACTTTAATGCCCTGACACCACAGACACAACAAACATAACATACAGTTATGCTAAGTTAGCTATCGGTCTGTTAGCCGAGCTTGCTAGCATGTCTATGGTTTAGCTAGCAAACTGGACGACCTAGCTTACAGTACAAATATGAATTATCTAGCCGTGTCTTTTAATAAGTAATGCTATTATTAGGTTAACAGGAAAACACAAACATAGAAAAACATAGACCTTACAAGAAACCCGCTAAAAATGTAACTGTACCAACTGTAGCAAAGTTCTTATTTCCGGGCTGTTTTTTCAAAGTAAAAGCCTTGACCACAGAGTTCAATTATCAACGGGAATGTTGTTTTATTAACGAATTACTTTTGAAAATGGAACAAAGTGATAATACACAAAATTGGCAAGCCAATTCATAAGCAGCTGCAATTTTCTCTCCATGTGCAATATTTTTTAGTGCATAAAGACAATATTTTAAACAATGAAATGCAAGTAAATAATTCACTAGGTCTTTCTCTTTGAGACATGTTGACACATCACAGCAGGAGATGCACATTCTGAAAAAAATAAAAAATATGATGGCTAAATTACATTTGCTTCAGTTTCAGGGTCCTAGTATTGTTTATTCTGGCTCACTGTCACGGCTTACTAGAACCGAGCCACTATTAATGTTATTGGTAGCACCTGTGCTTTTCCCACTGTCACAAGTCAAAATATCTGCAGGGGGAAAAGCCCTCAGCAGTAGGAGTTTCTGATGAAACGCTTCATCCAGATCTTCACAGTATCGTCCTGAACTCATCCAATATGAAAGTGGGCACATGAGCTTCAGCAACCTTAAGAACAGGGAGAAAATAAAGTGAAATGCACCTTGTTATTCCAGAGCACATAAACTACAAATGCAAAACATAAATTTCTACAGTTGTGTCATTCAGAGTAGGGTACAGTAGTTACCCATTTCTTATGCTGAAAGGTGCTACACCTTAATAACATAACAGTATAACTGCTAAACATATTAAGGTAGAATAATCAGAAATCAAAGTTGCAGCTTCCCTACAACCTTGGCATGTGTTTTACAGTATTTCAACAACATTAACAAGGTGAAAGTTGGCATACTTTACGTGACAGTTTTGTGTACTTCACATAGTCTTCCAGGAACATCAGTGCTCCTACCACATCAGAGGGCATGTCAGGGATTTTCTGACTATAATGGGGTCAAACAGAAAATTTAATTCCAGTTCATAAAATTATGACAAAATATATTTCATAATAGCATTCAGATCAAGTAAAGAAAAAACGAGAAGCAATACATTCACTTTAAAGGAATTGTTTAAATGTGTAATTTTTTTTAGCAGTTATTATAAAGTAGTCACATCTGGTTTCTTACCTTGTGCACTGCTCCATGACTGAGCGGATGAACTGACCAATGAGAGCCAGGAAGTGCTGTGTGTATCTGGAGTGGAACTGCTTGAGGAGGGTGAGTGTGCCGAGCACAAGTGGAGGCCAGTCTACTGGGTCTGTGGCTTTCCTGCAGGTCATTCCTGGGAAAACACAAGACATCAGTCATTATGTAATGTAAATGTGTTTGCCATATTGATGGGATAAAAACATAATTTATCACTATTATTCAAAGAATCCAACAACTTAAATTTATCAACATTTTGTTTGATGAGACTTGTGATGTAGCAAACTGAACAAAGAAAAATAAAACATGCCTTGGTTTTTGCCGTACTGAAGTTTAGGCAGCTGAGCAATAATAAATAGGAAGTTAATGATGGGGAAGTAAGGTAGGCGCTTTGTGGTGATGTAGATCTGTAAAAAGCATAAACAGAACAAACTGCTCAGAAGATCCTTTAAAAGCAAACAAAACATAAAACAAAGAAGACAGAGATGATAAACACGGGTAAAACTGGTTTCAGTCTGAGGTGGCTTAACAAGATTAACTAAAATCTGTCACTTATAACATTGTGTGGGAAGCAACACTGCCATAATGTCCAAACCTTGCTGAGTGGATTATGAATGCCAGCAGCCTCCAGGTAGGCAGTGATGTCATACAGAAGAGTGTTGTCCTCTTTAGGGTAGGGTAAGGATGGGTCCTGGTAGTGAGCTTCAATGTCTGCCAGCAGAGACCTGGCACGACCACAGTCACAGTTGGCATTCAGTGGACAAACAAAGGTTTGGGGAACAAAGGTAGAAAAGCATTAAGAAAGGGCATAATCATAAAGTCATTAATGCAGTACTAGATCTTTGCAAAAGAAATGGTAATTCATTAAACATTTATGTACTGCATTATGTACTGGCCAATAAAGCTGCTTCTGATTCTGATATACATATACTAACCTGTTGAGGTTTTCCAGGGCAGCAGCCAGGTGTTTGGAGTCAAACTTGCAAGAGTAGTTCAGCTCATTAGCAATCTGCTGTCTGAGAATCTGCATCTGACCAACCTACAACAAACACAAGCATTAAGCTGTATTTTTATGGGCTCTAGCCTTTACTGGGAAATTGCAACTATCATTAGAGTGTTATTAATAATTCTTTTTTACTGACTGACATGAGAGAAGAACATGGACCGGTACCTTCATGATGGCTTCCAGGTATGCACCCCAGATCTTCTGGGTTTTGGCCACAGCAGTAGCATACACTTTACTGGCATTAGCTATTTTTTAAAAAAAAAAAAAAAAAAAAAAAAAAAAAACGATTTTCCTCAGAGGATAAAAGTATCTGAGTAGGTTGTATGTTTTCCTAATTTAATACTTACCCACAATGCCTTGGACTGGGTTGACAGCAGCCAGCATAGCTTTGAAGGCATCCAGCACAGCTTTGTCCTTCAGAATGGTCTTCTGAAGCATCGTGAGGAAGTTCTGAGAGAAGCAGGTTGCCAACATAATATAATATTTGCACTGAAAATACCATGAAAATCCTTACAGACCTTGAAGCACTAATGCGGCGCCTATGTTTAATTTTCTTTTCTTTTTTTTTTTTTTTAAATAAGTGCCTGATGGTAGCTCTCTTACAAAGCCTTTGACCTATTTTTTTTTTAGGGCCAATTACCTGCAGCTCCTTGACAATCATGAAGCAGAGCAGGCGGTCCAGTCCGTTGAGGCCAAACGTACCCAGAGTGTTCTGGATCTCAGAGAACAGCCTGTTATTGGTCGTCTCCTGGTGGCTCTTCAGGTCATACCAGGTGTTCATCTGGTCAATGTAGCATGTTACCCTGAAAAAAACAACCAATGCTTAAATGTTTAAGAAAGAATTTATCATTTTCACATTAAAGCCCAGCTACTCTGAGACTAAAACTGTTTTAACAGTTTCATATATTTAACAATTTCACATACTTAGGATCAGTGATTCGAAGAATCTCTCTGCAAAGACGACCAATAAAGGTGGCAGATTCATCCACAGAGGGAAACTTGGGGATGGGGATGTGGGTGGACTGGTACACGCTCTGCCAGTCCTGGATCTAATTGGAGCAAAGAGGGAACCAATCAATCAACCAATATTACTGACTAGAAGACAAAAAAAACAAACAAATAATTTCCTATTGTTTACAGACAGATGAACTTATGCCAGTGCATGATTCAGAGATATGATCAGAAAGTGTACCAGGATGCTAATGTTTTAAGCCTGACCTTGGTCCTGAGGAAACTGTTGCATTACTGCTCCACATTGTAGTTGATGATACGTGAGACTTCCTCCTGCCAGATTTTAAGGCCATAAATGCTGACGTAATCTTGGATGTACTCAAACGACCTGTAGAAGCCATCCATGGTGGCTGCCATCTCCTTCAACTTGGGCATCAGCTCACTGGGCTGAGAGTGTGGAGTATTGTTTAGTTTATTTTTTTTTTATTTCTCACTCTTATTAACCTTGATCTTCATGGGGCAAGAAGACAGACATAAATTAATTACTTTTTAAATACATTATAACAAAACAATGTAAATTTCGTCCTGTTTGCTGGAGAAACATCTCCATCCATCCATCCATTTTCCTCCGCTTATCCGGGACCGGGTCGCAGGGACAGCAGTCTAAGCAAAGATGCCCAGACTTCCCTCTCTC